CTCGACGCCGAGATCCGAAGCGACTTCGAGTTGTTGTTCACAATTTCGAGCAGTGGCGAAGCGTCCTGGCTTGCCGATAGGCCCATCAAAGAGCTATAATATCTTAAGAACCTTCTGTGGAATGCACGAACGGTTCTTAGAACATTTCGTGTTGAGACCGCCTTGCTTCAACATAATTCAATGTGTATATACACATGTATATGTATGGTTTATGTTATTTGTTCTTAGACGTTTCCCTCTACCCTCCTGCGTTGGGAAGTAGTTTTGAATAGAGCACTGCGGTCGCACAACTCCTTCCTTCTTTCCCACCTCCTTCCTCCTCTCCTCTTTCCTCCTGCCTTTACTTCGCCACTTTCGAAGGCTGCTGGGGGCTCAGCGGATTGAGGCACAACCCAGACTCAGATTGGACCTCGCCGTCCCTGGGGGGCTGCGACCTGCGAAACTGTCACCACTTTCGAGGCTTGCGGGGGGGTCCAGCGGAGTGAGGCACAACCCAGACTCAGATTGGACCTCGCCATCCTGGGTGGCTGCGATCTGCGAAACTTTCACCATTTTCTGGGCCTTCTGGGGGGTTCAGCGGAGTGAGGCACCACCCAGACTCAGATTGGACCTCGCCATCCCCGGGGGGCTGCTATCTGCGAAACTGTCACCATTTTCTGGGCCTGCTGGGGGTTCAGCGGAGTGAGGCACCACCCAGACTCAGATTGGACCTCGCCATGTGTGTGTGGCTACAATCTGCCAAACTGTCACCACTTTGGAGGCCTGCTGGGGGGTTCAGCGGGGTGAGGCACCACCCAGATTCAGATTCGGCGTCGCCATCCCTGGGTGGATGCGATCTGCGAAACTGTGGCCACTTTCGGGGCCTTCTGGGGGGTTCAGCGGAGTGAGGCACCACCCAGACTCAGATTGGACCTCGCCATCTTGGGTGGCTGCGATCTGCGAAATTGTCACCGCTTTCGAGGCTTGCCGCGGGGTCCAGTGCAGTGAGGCGCCACCCAGACTCAGATTAGACCTCGCCATCCCTGGGGTCTGCGACCTGCGAAACGGTTGCCTCTTTCGAGGGCTGCTTGGGGGGGGGTTCAGCGGAGTGCGGCACCACCCAGGCTCAGATTAGACCTCGCCATCCTTGGGGGGCTGCGATCTGCGAAACTGTCGCATCTTTCGAGGTCTGCTGGGGGGTTCAGTGGAGCAGGCTCAGATTGGACCTCGCCATCCCTGGGGGGCTGCGATCTGCGAAACCGTCGCCATTTTCGAGGGCTGCTAGGGGGTTCAATGGAGTGATGCACCACCGAGGCTCGGATTGGACCTCGCCATCCATGAGAGGCTGCGATCTGCGAAACCGTCATCATTTTCGATGGCTGGTAGGGGGTCCAGCGGGGCGCTGTCGCGGGCCGCCCGCAGACCTGGCGGCGCGCCTTCGAGCGTTTACCTCCCGCACTGAAAAGTGCAGGAAGGAATGAGGGAAGCTGGCGGGCGAGCTAGGCCCCGCTCGCTTTTCGCACTAACGATAAGCAAGTTGAATCATTATGTCGAGCGCCGCGGCGACATGGCGCAGGCAGCGCTGCATCTTCAGAGTACTACCACCAAAAGCAACACTCTTCGGTTTCCTCCCGTCACATTCGTCGTCGTCCTCTGCACCCTGCCACCTTTCTCTGCTGCTGCCGCGCTGACGGGTCGGCCCCCACGCGTCCGTCTTCTGCCCTGCGTTCCCGCCCCCATGTTTTCTCAAGCCTGGGCCCTCGCTCTTCGTCCTTCTATTGTAGTCCTGTGAATCGTGCCACGCGAGCGCGTTTCATGTAGCTTGCACACATCTCACGGCGCGCACTGTCATTGTCGTGGCAAGTTTGGGCCAATTCCTCTTGTCCTTTGATGTAAACGGGTTGGGCACGCCACAGTGTACTTGTTCTATGGACATTGCGTTGTAGGCCTATAGGCCTGCCGGGACGGTCGGTTCGGTCCCTGCTCAACGATCCGATGTTGCCCGACGCTTGCTTGTAGGGCGCTGGTATGCCTCCTGGAGGCCATTCTCTTACCTCCTGACGATCGCGGCGGGCGTGACCAGGGGTTGGGGTGGTGGTGGAGGGGGGGAGGGGTCCAGTATCGTCAGGATTACGGCGCCGTCGGGGGATGCTTAAACGGCTCATTCCCAGACAGCGCCAGCGCGAGTCGTGACGTGACCAGTGGGGGTGGGAAGGTCGCCATGGGGGAACCGGGTCTTGAGGGAAACGGGTCCTGAGGCTTTTCGCCGTCTCCGGGCTCACAGGGCCGTCTACGGGCGCCAGGACTTTCAGAAAACAATTCAGGATGAAGAATTCGTCCTGGGGGAGGCCCCAGGGTCCAGGACCCGTTTCCTCCAGGACCCGTTTCCCAGATATCCGATTGCTCTAATTTTTTCGATGCGTGGGCCCCAGAGGTCTGGACCATTTCCCCGTTTTTTGTCCTGTGTCGTTTGTTTCACGATCCCGAGGCCCAGCGAGGGCCCCCGGAGCTCCCAAACTGCCAGAATTCCGCCGCTCCACTTTTTCGGGAGCGCCGGATCTCTGGGGATGAAATTAAGGACGCCGAACTTCGCGCCCTCGCGCCGCCCCCCAGGGGAGAGGATGAAGATGAGGAGGAGTCGGAGCCGAACTGCGAAGCACGAAGTTCGAATACCCTCGCGCCCTCGAGGGCGCCCTTGTAGCATCGGCTGCGCCAGGCGCCCATTCTTGTGTTCTTCGCGCTATAGCGCCCGTTGTACCGGCCCTGCCACGACCCCCACCCCCCGTTCTTTTCTGGAGCTACGAGAGGGGTGTGGCACAGAGGGGTGTGGTGCCAATCGTGGAAATGGAGGTGCTATCCACGAAAGATCACACTGCCAGATTCAGCATTGGCACCACACCCCTATATTCAAGGGAGGAAAACCCACCCGGACCAGATAATCGGCGTTTACTAAACGGCCCTGGGCGTTTACTAAACAGTTCTGCCCTGTTCGATTCCTTCGTTGGGCGCGTTTACTAAACGACTTCGCGTGTCGGGGTGAATATTAGGGGGGGTGTTTTTTCTTAGCACCGGGGAAACGGATCCTGACTCAGAGTTCTGACGCTCCCAAAACAACTCGAGCGGCGGGATTTGGGCAGTTTTCGGCCTCCAGTGGCCCTCGCGTCAAAAAAAAAACTCAGGACAATAAATATCGGCCATCGAAACAAATTGGAGGAGCCAGATGTCTGGGTCCCGAGCAGTACGTTTGGCGGTTACGGGGCCCGGTGGGGGCATGCGGCGGCGCTGAGCATGGTTAGCGATTTTCAGTCGTGCTCATAGTTGGCGTCGCGAAGATGCCAGGGTACCATGGCCCAGCCGTTTCTTGGGTAGTGTACATCATTCAAGACGTTCAAGTGAAGAGCAGGTCGGGTTCGGATGGGGCTCGGCTTGCTGTTCCTGAGGCCCTTTACAGTTGTGGTGCCAGAAGGGGGCCTCGTTCTTTACTCCGCGTTTCTTAAGGTAGTTGTTCGACTGCGCATGGTCGCGAATAGATCGTCGCGGGCTTTGCTGTAGACAGGCGTACCTGCAAGCTTGCATGTGTTGCGCGCTCCGCAGCTCTCGAGGCTCCGACCTGTGAGCATCTCGCCACGTCCCAGAGCTGGGCGGAGCAAGGAACCGTGCCGTCACAGCTCGGTAGCTCTTTGGTTTTCTCGTGCCACTGCCCAGGAGCGGCCCCAGGTATGCACGGCCCCTGAGATGCAACGCTGCGAAAACATTGCAACATCAGAAATAATCACGACCATAGCTCCGGACCCCATCTTCCTGCGTCATTTTTGTTTGTGAAGTCGGACCGATGCGCGAGGTTCCTGGGGCCCGACAACGAACGAGCGAACACGCCCGGTGTGAACAATTGCAGCCTATACATCCGGCAGCTCCGACTTTTTTCGATGCGTGGGCCCCAGAGGTCCAGACCACTTCTCAAGGGCTTGTTTTTTGCCTGGAATAGTTTTTTTGACGCTTCCGAGGCCCGGCGATGGCCCACAGAGGCCGAAAATTGTTAAAACCTCGCCGCTCTAATTCTTTGAAGCGTCGGATCTTTGGGAACCCCCAGATCTCATGGGTGGTGGTGTGCATCTGCCCTCCGCGTGCTCTGACGCGCGCGCGTGCGTCTTGCGCCCCCCCCTCCATCTGGGAGCATCATAGATGATAAACGAATCCCTAACCTTAGTAACATGGTGGAGACGTGGACTAGGAAAATCAATACACGCGGTTTGGTTTGATACATCTACCGAAGGGTTCAGGGTACTCTTATGGTTTATCAGATGAGGCCTCCCTCCCGGCCACCCGTATGGGCGTCGGCACCCGCAAGCCAATCAAATTCCAACATGTCTTCCTCCCCCTCCCCAGACATCTGGCCGCTCCAAACGTTAAGACGAATATGCACAACGCTATGGCGGGAGCCACGATTTGAAAGGGAGGCGCCCTAAAGCCGTGAAGTTCTTGCAAATGTTTTAAAGCAATGTGCGCGGCGTTAGAAGCGAGAGCGACAGTTTGAAAAGGAACCGCCCCCCATCCGTGAAGCTCTTACATTTGTTTAACCAATGTGCGCGGCGGTAGTGCGAGAGGCACATGTTGAAAACCACCCGCCCTCAATCCGTGAATTTCTTGCACATTGTCGAAGCGAATGTGCGTGGGGCGAAGGCGAGAGCCACATTTTGAAAACGATCTGCCCCCAGTCCGTGAAACTCTTGCGATTTGTTGAAATAAAAACGCGCGGCGCTAAGGCGAGAGCCACAGCTTAGCTTGGAAACCACCCGCCCTCCATCCGTAAAGCTGTTGCCAATGTCTTAGCTTCAGGGTCATAAGTGGTGAGGAAGTTTCAGGCGAAACGCCCGGCCCACCCTTTCGACCGGCCTCGGGGTGCGACATGGAGGTGTTTCTGTTATGAGGAAAGGAATGGAGGCTCCGATTGAGAGGATACCCCTCCCTCTTCAAAGCCTCGGGGGGCTCCTCCTCGGCCCCCCCCCGCACCCCTCGCGGAGGCGGTGGACAAGGGGCTGCGAGGCCGCGGGGTCGGGACGAGGCTGGTGCAGCTGTGCCTGGACCGCATGAGGCCGGCAGGGGGCGCGGCCCGTGGGCGCGCGGGCGGGCAGGGTTCGCCGACGCCGCCGATGCATCGGCGATGCATGGGCGATGCATCAGCGGTGCATCAGCGATGCACTGGCGATGCGGAGCGGTCCTCCGACCCATCTGCTCGGACCCCCTCCAGGCCTCCGCTGCGCACTCAGGGTGAGCTTCGAGGATGGACGAACAGGGACAGGGAAGGAATATCGGCAAAAGCATGAACTGTCGACGGTCCGCACGGATTCCTTGGATCGGTGTTGGCCCCCCTGGCGGCGCCTCCAGCGCCGCCCCTGGCGCGCTCCGCGCGCCAGGGAGAAGGGTGCAAATCTGTGCGGGCCGTCGAAAGTTTGTGTCTATGCCGTCGGTGTTTTTTTCCCTTTTACAGGGGCGACGCTAGGTCGATACAATCGAACTTTGTACAGACAAAGTGTGGAGGAATGCGGGCAGCATATCGTTTCCGAATGTGACTGGGCTCGCTGTCGGTGCCGCCTCGGGCGACGGCAGTCGAAGAACACAGCGGCATCAAAACAGTTCTAGATTCTTGGCGGAACCCCACCAGCCCATGTAGACACGATGCCCAGACGAGTTGCCTTGATCAGGGATGTGGAGGAACATGTAGTAAAATGAAGGGTTGGGTAAGACGTCATACCCCAAGAGGGGATGGGGGGAGGGAGGAGGAATCGGAGGAGCAGGCGTAGGGAGAGGAGGAGGGGGAGGGGGAGGAGGGAGGAGGATGTAGGAGGAATAGGCGGATGAGGAGGAGGAGGAGGAGGAGGAGGGCGAGCAGAAAGACCAGAGGCTTCATGCTCACTGTCGGAGTATCTTCGGATGTCTTTCGAGAGATTCTTGGAGTCCTCTGAGGGCGTCTTGGAGGTTTCTTGGCAGTCCCCGAGGCCTCTTGTGGCGTCTTAGGCGCCACCGCGGGGCCTCTTGGGGATCCCGTGGGAGCCTCTTGGGGGCATCTTCGGGGCATCTCGGGGCCTCTTAGGACCCTTGGGAACCTCGGGAGCCATTTTTGGGCCATCTTTGGAGGAGATCGATCAACGGAGGGGGGCTCCTTAATCAGGGTCCTCCCTGTGGCCGACACCTTCGCCACATCAAGCATGTTGATCTTCTTTTCGCCGAGGCCTCTTGAGGCGTCTTAGGTGCCTCTGGGGGGCCTCTGGGGGGCCTCGTGGGGGTCTCTTGGAAGCCTCTCCGGGGCATCTTGAGTGCCTCTTGGGGGCCTCTTGGGGCCTCCTGGGCGCCTCCTGGGGCCGTCTCGGGGCACCCTCGGAGGCCTCGGGGGCCGCCACCATCCTTGTCGAAAAGCAAGGCCCATCAGTGTGCCTGGTGGGCCTGCGCACGGCAGGCCATACGCCACCACCCCCGCCGTCACTGTCAACAAACCACTTGGCAGTGATCGCGGGGTGGCCGCGCATGATCCAGATTTAGCCGCGAGGTGCATTTTGTATTGTTTTTGTCAGGGATGGTCGCTCTACGCAGAGCGGGCAATATGCTGACACTTCCGCCGTCCTTGTCAAAACCTATACAAAGTGCTCGCGGGCCTCACGAACATGACTCAAGACATTCTGCCCCAAAACAAAGTATGTGTTGTTTTTGACAGGGATGGTGAGGGGGCCGCATCGGGTTGGCCGCGCATGCTCTAATTGTGGAGGCAGAGTGCGTTTTGTACTATTTTTGAACGTGATGGTGGGGGGGACCCGCATGGTGTTCTCATGGTTCCTGGTCGGCTGCCGGTCGCCTGTGGGAGGGGGTGTATATTCAGAGGGAACAGTGATCAAGCTACCCTCCTAGATAGCAGGCCGTCCAGCTCACTCCCACCCGCCCTCCCAATACATAAGTAACACCCGAGTGTCAGCAGATCGCTTGGGAAGGCCACACATGCCATGCGCGCCACGGGCTCCAGGTGCACCAGGCACCCTGGAAGCCCAAGCGCGCCAGGTGCGGCACATGCTCCACGTGCGCCAATCGTCCCACGCGCTCCAGCCGCGCCAGGTGCGCCAGCTACGAGGAACCAATAGGGACCCCTGGTGCCTGAGGCCCTGGACCCAGGGAGTTCAGGATCTTGAATCCACCTGAAGCGAAGTGCCGAGTATTCTCTGAGAAGGTCGGCCCTTCCAGGGAGCGCAAAGCACTGGCATCAATGAACAAATGTGACATTTCGAAACGTCGAGCTCAGAGAGAAGAGCGCTCTGCGCATGCTTCAGATTCGGAGCCAAAGTGAAAATTGTCCTTGGTTTGACAGGTACGGTTGGCCTGCGCACAGCAAGCAATATGCCTGCACCCCCGCCGTCCCTGTCAAAAACCAATGCAGAGTGGTCGCGGGGCGCCCGCGCATGCGCCAGATTTGGAGGCAAAGTGCATGTGTATTGTTCTTTGCAAGGGATAGCGGGGTGGGGGGGATCATTGGTCCGTGTTGGTTGCTGGTCGCCAGGGGGAGGGGGTGTTTATTGGAAGGGAACAGTGATAAACCCGTCCCCGAAGGGGAAGAAAGGGGATTGGAAGAGGATGTGTTGTAACCACTCACGCCCTACAGCGGCGGTGGGATTTCTCGGAATTCCGCGCGGATAGCTTGGGTCGGTCAGCGCTGGGCCACCCCGGCGGCGCCCGGCGCCGCCCCTGGCTCGCTCCGCGCCCCAGAGAGGCGGTCCAGAGCCGATCCAAGAGACGCGCGCGGAGCTCAGCGAAATTTTGCTCATGCCATTTTGTGTTCCTCCAGTTAGGGGGGGGAATGGGCTGAGGAGGGAACGCATCGGTGCCGAGTCGCCCATTGATCGCCCGCCCAGGAACGTTCGGTTTCGCCCAGGAACGTTCGGCGACGTGTCGCCGATTCCAGGTCGCCAGTTTCCCTGTAACGTTCCCTCTCACGCCTCGGTCGTCGAGTTTCGAGGATCCATCTTCGAGGACGGAGCTTCGAGGCTTCGAGGCATGAAGGTCGCAAACTTCCGTCCCGGGCCCGCGGTCGCGCCAGGGAAGAAGGGCTTTTCGGCACCAAGGCTTCGAAGAATGAGCAGTCGGTACAAGCAGAGCTTTCGGGGTCTGCTGCGAGGAGGGCGAGTCGAGGCAATAGTATGGTTGGCCTTCGGGTGGTCCCCTCCCGTGGCCACGGCTGGACGCAGCTCGGACACTGGGAGGGCTCCACGGGCCAGTTTCGAGCTGCCGTTGTCTCAGCTCGCCCGGCTCCGAGGGGAGGGAGAGTCGGGGCGGTCGAAGGGTGACCTGGGAGAGCCGGAGGGCGCGTGCGGACCGATGGGCATCCGAAGGTCGCTGGCCTTCCTTGGCCTCCTTCTCCGAAGCTCGGCCGCCGTCTGAGGAGCCCTGTCCACTTCCCCCCTCTCAGAGGAGGAAAAGGTACCCATACCGCCTCCCCTTCCTCGTCTTCCCTTGCTTGGGCCTCCAGGGAAGCCTCGTCGCCACCGCTGGGTTCCCATCGAACAATTGGTCAGGGCGGACCCCAGGAGAGGTCTGGAGAGTAATTAGCGGTATCGGCACCCTTTGGTTTCCCCACCTTTGGCGCTTGCGATTGTGTCTGTGTGTTCCGCTTGCTCGCTTCTCGCTTGCTTCGCCCAGCCTTTGAAGCCGACCCCAGTCTTCTGCCGGGACGGTTTGTGAGTCTGCCGCGCAGCCTTACAAGAGGGGGCAGAGTCGGAGCGGACGAGTGGGGCCTTCTGGAAACCATGGACGGTGCGCTTGACAAATCCCGCACGCGGCTGTTTTCGGCCCCACCGCCGGGCGCTTTCCTCGAAGAGTCGAAGAATGAGCAGTCGGTGTAATGATGGGCCAGTGTTCCACCAGCACCACCATAGGTAGGACGGGGAAGAGGAAAGGATGGGGATGTCCTCCTCCTCTGCCTCCTCCTCCTCCTCCTCCTCCTCCGTCTCCTCCTCCTCCTCCTCCTCCTCCTCCTCCTCCTCCCCAACCTGCTGCGGTGGAACATCGGCCCATCATGTGCGCCAGCTGTTCGGAGGTCTGCGCTGGTTTCACCCCTTGGCGGCGCCTCGTGCGCCGCCCTGGGCCCGGGCGGGGGCGCCGCCACAAGAAGTCCGTTCGGAGTGCCGGAAGATCGGTCTTAGACCAGGAGACGGGGGGTCAATGCAAACGGGGGTCAGCCAGAGCGTCGGACCTTGCAGGATCCTGCAGGGCCAGGGTCGCACTGACCAAGGTTTGGGTGCAGGATCCTGCAGGATATCGCAGGATCTTTCGCATTGATCTGGGTTTGGGTGCAGGATCTTGCAGGATTATGCAAGGGTTGGTTGACCCGGGTCTGGATTGACCCGGGTCAGAAGATCCCCGATTCGGCGTTTGCGGAGGTTTTCTGTTGTAGGGAAGGTTCGTCGGCACCAAGGATTCGTTCCGAGGATGTTCATAGTAGAAACATCGCCATAAGCACAATTTTTTGGGGCGCTCCGTGTGGATTTCTTGGATCCGCGCAGGGCCCCCCCAAAAGTTTATGGTTACGGCGGTGTTCTTCCTCTAGATTCGTTTTGAGGATATGTAGCAAATAACATATCGAAGACGCCTACGGCGAATCACCGCCGCCCCCTGCCTTTGTGGAAGCGCCTATGTGGCCGAACGTTGAGGCCAGACCTGCCAAGCTATCGGACCATGTGTTCCCCGAATCGGTTTGGAAAGCCTTCAGGGAACACGCGGGCATCCAGACGGTCATCTTGGCCGTCTGGAGGCCATTTTGACCTTTTTCGGGCCTTCTTGGAGGACGTCTTGGAGAGCTCTTGGACCGTCTTGGAGGCCATCTTGAGCGTCTTGGAGACCTCTTGGGCCGTCTTGGAGGCCTCTTGGGGCCGTGTCTTGGGCCTCCTGGGCGATCTTTGGGGGCATTTGGGCCGTCTCGGGCCGTCGGAAGGCAGAAAAAAAGCAACTGCCACAATCCTTCAAAAAATCCATGGGAAACCAATGATTTTGCCTTTTCGGGCCTTCCTGGATGCCCTCTTGGAGGCCTCTTGGGCCGTCTTGGGCCATCTTAGGGCCATGTTCGGCCGTCTTGGTGGGCTCCTGGTCCGTCTGACGCCGTCGGAAGCCGTTTCGGGGGCCTCTATGGGCCGACTTGTGGCCCTCTTGGAATGCTCCAGGGCCGTCTTGGAGGCCATCTTGGGAACCCCTGCCGGCGCCTCCTGCGCCACCCCTGGCGCGCTCCGCGCGCCAGGGAGGGGGTTCCAGCGCCGATCCGAGAAATCCGCGAGGACCTCCGAGTTTTTAGGTCTATGTCATTGTTCGTTCCCCTATTCGAGGTTCTAGGGTCGAGCTTCGGGGCCGCTAGGGGGTTTCAGCGCCGATCCGAGAACTCCGCGAGCGAGGACCTCCGAGTTTTCATGTTCATGTCCTTGTTCGTTCCCCCCTCGAAGCTGCACTCTCGAAGCTGGACCCTCGCGTGGCAGGGACTTGCGTCGCCACGGCTGGATGCCCCTTCGAAGTGCTGGCCAGGGCGCACCCCGAAAAAGGAGGTCCGGGGGCCTACATTTTTCAGGGCCGCGAAACAGAGGTTGGTCCTGAATGAACGGGGTCCTGGAGGTGCTTCCTGGATTCTGGCCTTCCTGGGCCCTCTTTGGGAACGTCAGAAAAACGGCTCGGGGAGTCAGGCAGGCGTTGGATGAGGACCTATTGTTCCAGACTGTTCTGGAGCGCTCTGGACAGGCTGCGGCGCCTGATACATTTTCCAGAACCGCCAACTGCGACTTCTCTTAGTCTTTAGCTGCAATCTTGTCACTTCGCGTGTCCCCACCAGCCCATCCGGGAACGATGCCCATGATAGTTGCTTGCACGAGGACGTGGCAGAATGGGGAGGGCGAGATTCATGGAAATGACTGTCGCTGCACCTGTTTGCGCGCTTTGCCTGCGCCTCGCGCGCCCGCGCGCACAATAGTTGTTATGAACCCGTGGGGATGTGCACAGACTTACGCATACATCAAGAGTGCGCGTGTGAGCGTACGCTTCCATCTATGCATACGATTATGTTTAAACAGTCGAGATGCGACATCTAAGCAGCTCTAATGCCTCGTTTATGCATGCGTATGGCATAGCTGTATACACACGTGTATGTATGCATGCATGCACGCATGTATGTGTGTGTATGTATGTATGCATGCATGCATGCATGCATGCATGTATGTATGTATGTATGTATGTATGTAGGTATGTATGTGTGTGTGTGTCTGTATGTATGTATGTATGTATGTATGTATGTATGTATGTATGTGTGTATGCATGTATATATGTATGTATGTACGTATGTATGTATGTATGTATGTATGTATGTATGTATGTATGTATGTATGTGTATAGTTCTGAGTGGACATATGTACGTATGCACGTATGCACGTATGTGTATATGCATGGTTGCATGTATGTATGCATGTGTGTAGACATGTCTGCATACATCTATATATATACGTATAGTTGTGCATGCCCGCAGGTCGGTACATATACATATTCATACATACATGCTCGTAGGCATTTAAACATGTATGCACGCATGTATGCATGTATGTATGCATGCATGCAAGCATGTGTGTATGTGTGGATATGTGCATGCATGCGTACATGTATGTGTGGTTGCACGCATGCATGCATGTATGCACGTATGTGTGTATGTATGTTTGGGTGTGCATGTACGTGTGTACGCATGCATGCATGCATGCATGCATGTATGCAATACTGTATGGATGTGTGCGTGTGTGTATGTATGTTTGTATGTTTGTATGTTTGTGTGTACGTGTTTATATATGGGCGTACGTATGTATGTATGCATACGTGTCGGTATGCATGGATGACTGTAGGTATGTGTAAGCGTGCACGTATGCATGTATGTACGTATGTGTGTATGCGTGTATGTATGTTTGTGTGTATTTAGTGTATGTATGCATGCATGCGGTCGTGCATGCATGTATATATGCATGTATGCATGTATGTATGGATGCATGTGCGTATGTATGGATGCATGTGTGCATTGTATGTATGTGTGCATGTATGTATGTGTGCAGGTTTGCATGCATGCATGATTGCGTGTATGTGTGTGTGCGTGCATCTATGCATACATACGTATGTATGTACATGTATATATATATATATATATGTATAGTTGTGTGTGCTTGTGTGCACGGACCTTGACATACTCGCGTATGGGAAGATGCCCTGGACAAGGGTTCACATGGGCACGTGGGCCAAGATGCCTTTATGGTAGTCGTTCAAGACGCCGGCGGGCGGCGCGTGTCCCTTTTGGTCTTCGGCGAGAGCGGGTCTCGCAAGGGGGATCTCGTGGACGCTCGCTTCGCTTTACTCACGCTGGCGTCGCGGATGTATCGGCGACGTCGCCAGTGCATGGCCGATGCATCGCCGATGTGTCGGCGATGCATCGGCGATGTATCGGCGATGCGTTTCGATCCTCCGGCCCCATGTTTTCCGACCCCATTTGGGAGGCCTCGAAAAGGTCTCATGGTTTAGTAGTCGCTCGCAGAACAACGCCCTAAACATAAACTTTTGGCGCTCCGCGCGGATTTCTTGGATCCGCGCTGGGCCCCCCCGTGGCGCCTCCGGCGCCGGCCCTGGCGCGCGGAGCGCGTCAGGGAGGGGGGCGCAGCGCGGATCCAGGGAATCCGCGCGGATCGCCAAAAGGTTCTGCTTATGGCGTTTTTTCTTTCTCTTGGCGTCCCCCCCGTCCGCCCCTCCTTCTCTCGTGCTCGCCCGCTCTCCAGGCCCCCCCCCCAACCGCGCGAGCCCGAGGGAGACGGGGGCCGACGAGTGCGTGCTGGAGACCGAGGTGACCAACCTCGGCGCGCTGTCATTGTGCCCCCCCTCCCTCTCATGCTCCTTCTCCCGCCTCCTCTTCCTCCTCCCTCCTCCTTTTCCTTCTCCTCTTGCTCCTCCCTCCTCCCTCCTCCTGCTCCTCCCTCCTGCTCCTCCCTCCTCCTCCTCCCTTCCCCTCCTCCTCCTCCTCCCTCCACCTCCTCTCCTCCCTTCTCCCCCTCCTCCCTCCTCCTCCTCCTCCTCCTCCTCCTCCCTCCTCTTCCTTCTCCTGCTCCCCCCTCCACCTCCTCCTGCTCCTCCCTCCTCCTGCTCCTCCTCCTCCTGCTCCTCCTCTCCTCCTCCTCCTTCCTCCTCCTCCTCCTCATCATCATCCCTCCTCTCTCCTCCTCCTGTTATTATTCTCCTCTTCTTCTCCTCTCCTCCTCCTCCTCCTCCTCCTCCTCCTCCTCCTCCTCCCCACCTCCTCCCCCCCCCCCCCTCCTCCTTCTCCTCCTCCTCCTCCTCTTCCTTCTCCCCTCCCCCCCTTCCGGGGGGCGCCCCCTCGTACCGCGGGGCCCCCCTCCCAGCTAGCCCCACATGCTCCGCGCGGCCGCCCGCCATGGTCGCCGCCGCGCGCCCGTGCCGCGGAGCTGCTCGCCCAGCACGCGACGCGGGTGCAGGCAGGAGCCTGCCCGGCACCGTTGCTTGCGAGTGCGCCAGATGGGCCTGTCTTCCACCAACACCATCATAAGTTGGAGGGGGGAAGGAGGAGGGCGAGGAGGAGGAGGATGAAGAGGAGAAGGATGAGTAGGAGGAATTCCCTCCCCCTCCAACTTGTGGTGGTGGTGGTGGTGGAAAACAGGCCCGTTGTACGAGTTGCTGCAGCTCAACGTCGTCCACATTATCATCACAGCGCCAGCATGGCGCCGCACTGGGTTCGCAACGCTTCAGATTCGGGAGCATCGCAGACGCTTCCGATTCGGGAGCACCGCAGCCTGCCTCCTCCTCGGGGCAACGGTGGCAGTGTCAGCCAGCGTTGCACTCACAACTGGCTCAACGTGCGCACGTGTGCCTGGTACTTCCGCCGCAGACCAGTGCGCGAGGCAGTGGCAGGAAATCTCTCGATCGGCCGCATCCAGGGAGGCTGCCCACCGACCCACCCCAGCAGATTATGCTCGGAGGGGCGCCATCCATACACCACCAGCAGCCCTGGCCAGGCACTTCATGGGCCCTGGATCGGTGCACAGACCTCCTGGCCTAGGCCAGGAATGCCTGTATACCAGGCTGGGGCACACGATAGGCCTGGCCAGGGCTGGTGGTGGCGCATCGTTTGGGGCTCTCCTACAGTCAACGCGCCTAGTAAGGACGCGCGCCTTCATCTAGGATACCCTTGCGTCCTTGCCTCTGCGGCCCGTCCTTCGCCGTTTTCACTGGCCGCCCCCCGCCCCAAAAAATCCCAACTTCGGCCTCCAAGGGTCTTGCGTCCTTACCACGCGTCCTTAATATACGTTTTGACTGTAAGTGCACGCTGGTGCAGCCTGGCCTCGGTGACCAGCGTGGCGGGCGCGGAGGTGGACCGTCCCGGCCGCCTGGGACCACCACGTTTGCCAGGCATGGCAGCCTTGGCAGCCCGCCCCGCCTGCGGTGCCGTCCGAGGCCCGTGGTCGCGCATCCTGGCTGGATCCCCCCTCGGAGGCGAAGGAGTTCCCTTCGAAGAAGCAACACGCACATAACCTTTTGGCGCTCCGCGCCCAGCGCCAACAGTTCCTGTTTACGTGTGTGTGTGTGTGTTATTCTTCTATCCCTGGTCATAAGGCTCAGCGCACCTAGAACTTTCGCAGGCGAGCGTTCACCCCCAACCCCCAATGTGTTGACGAAAAGTGAAGCCGTTCAGAAAAGGGGGGGAACCTTGGGATGCACCCCAAGGATGCTATGGACTATTCGGACGCACCCCTATCGAGGATGGACGCTCCCCACATCCCAGGGTTGGGCCCCAACATGTTGGTCCACTCGCTACGAAGCCTGGGATAGAGGTCGACAGATCCCTCGCTGAACTTGGAGGCCCTGGGGTGCCAGACCAAGTCCCAGCAGGCCCTCAAGTGAGACCCGGCCAGGCTCCAGGAACCTACGGAGGAGTATTCGGTGCTATTGTACACGCTCGTGCATGCATATCCCGCCAAACATTGCGTATCCATCAAGATCGATATATCGATAGGGCCGACAAGCGTGGGGCAGATGCAACAGCTTCCGAGGGGCAAGCGCGAGCTGCGCTCAACACACAACCTCGGCCTCCATGATAACCCTCCGGGGGGACTTGGACGAGGCCGAGGAGCTCATCACAGCCTTCAAGACCATGCAGGAGGTCGAGGAGGCCGAGAACGAGGGGACCACCGCGCAGACGACCACGACGGTGCGCGCTCGTGTGCTTCAGCTCGTGAATTCTCTCCATGACGACCGCCTGCAATCTGGCCGAGGCCAGCATCCAGAGCAGGCGCACACGACCGCAGGGACTGGCTGTAGCTCCATAGCCTGCCAAAACATACTCGCGCCACGAGGTCACCTTTGACGTCTGTTCCAGCACCCTCGCCGATGACGACGAGATGGACACTTCCACGATCATGTCCAAGCGCTTCTGCATGCCCGAAGCACGCTGGGGCATCGTCTGTGCCCAGTGGTGCGTTTACACAATGCTTCAGGCGCGGGTGCGGCCTCCACGCCACCGTTGTAATCAGCATTGCAGCACCAGCCTCTCCGGTGCTGTACGCCAGCCATGTGGCTGGACAATTTCAAGCATTCATTTTTTTCGTCATCGGATTGGCCCTGCGTGCAGCACATGGCAGCAGGCGCACGTCAGATAACCGCACGCGGCCCGTGCCATCCGCCCTCAAGGATCACGCGATCAAAGTGCCGAGAAGCCGAACGCAATCACGCGTCACGCGCGCACATTCGGCAGCGCAAGCAATTAGCCCACCAGCGCTGGCATTCTCCAAGGAGACGTCACCCGTGGAACCAGTGCGTGACACCATGACGCCTCCGGCGCTGGTATTTCGAGAACGAGAGCGTGCTCATGCCTTTGCGGGCCTCCGCGCAGCATGCTGGCAGCGATTTCGGCTCCGATCGGGAGATCCACTACCCTTTTCCTGCCGATTAGTTCTCCACACAAAGAGCACAACATTTACTCAAACTGACTTGCTTTCAAGAAGGGTCCCAGACGAAACCAAGCGCACTCTACGCACCACCTGTGCACAACTCCCGCGGTGCCGTTTGCCTTCGGACGACAATGCTCGAATACCGAGTCAGCTGCGTGCACGCGCAAGTGCGCGCCACAAGTTGCTGGGACATGTCGTCTAAGACCATGGGCCGCCACAACCACCAGCGCAGCTTGCAGCGCGATCGTACACGGACGTTCCGCGCCTGCTCATAGTTACCACAGAACCCTGGCAAGGCAGGAATCACGGGCCTCTGGGGCGATAACGAGATTTCGTCTTCAGACGGACCGCCGGCCGAGCAAACCGAGAGTCATGAGGTTGTTCGGGGCCTCTGATGACCACAGTCGGAGATCGAGGATGTGACCATCCACGTGGAAGAGAAAGGGCAAGACCAGGAACATGAGCAAGGACGAGCTCATCCGCGGCGAACGTCTGTTCAACATTGCTTACGGCGACTGACACGACAGCGGCGGCATCCACACCAACCGCATCGAGGAGCTGTCCGACGCCTTCCCGCCGCAGACCACCGTCGACCCATTTTGTCGACTACATCGGCCACGCTCGATGGCCTGAAGAACATCTCGGAGACGCACCCGCCCATCATCGCCTCGGAACTGTGGCCCGCGATGCGCTTCATGAAGCAGCAGGACCTGTGCGACATCTTCGCCTACATCCTTTGCTCGGACTGCGTCATTCTGGAGACTGGCTGGCACTGACCGGTGGGTTACGGCCAGCCAGTTCCCAGGACGACGACCGGGCCAAGACGTCCGCTGGCCAGCAGTCGTCAGCAGTAAGGTCCAGCGGCCCGCGGCGCACTGCCGCGAGCCATTGGGTGAATTGTGCCTTCGCGCTCGTCAAGACAGGCGCGGCGAAATTCCAAAAATGCACATGAACTTAGTTGCGCTGCTGGTCCCGGGCTGCTGCGACTAGCCACGCCCGCCGGCGCCTGCACGCGTGTGAGTGCCGAGGGCGGACAGCTGTGCCAGCGAGGGGCTGCGCATAGATACGGGGAACTAATCGTGATGCGGTTCGAGCGCACGTCGGCCACGATCTGTGCCGGGCCCCCACGAGCAGTGCCCTGCTCCATCGGCTGGTTGATGCCACATCGGGATACGTAGCTTGTCTTCACTCTCCCTACTGCGCGGTGCCATTCATGATCGCGGCCCTGGTCATGGCTAGGTCATCCCAAGTGCGAGTTGACCACGGACGAGCCGACAGGGCTCCCCAGGGCTCACTACGTCTTGTTCGAGTTGAAGCTCCTGAGCCATGGGTGAGGTGTGCCGAGCGTCTTCGCGGTGATTTGTACTGAAAGGAAACAACTTTCCGCCTTGCTATCTCTCATGTTACCATTGCCACCAATAACTCCCGCAATTCCAGTCCTTCTTCTTCATATTCCTCCTCCTCCTTCCTCTCTCCTTCACTGTCCTCCTCCCTCCCTGGTTTCCTCCCTTCTCCATCTTCTCCCTCCGCTCTCCTCTGTCCTCCTTGTCGTCCCTCCTATCCTCCTCTCTCCTCGTGCCCGCCTCCTCTCCTCACTCCGCACCATCCCCTCATATTTCGCCATGATGATTAATTTCCCCCTTTCTTACTCCCCCTCCTCCTTCTTTCCTTCCCGTTTCTCTGTTCTTCCTCTCTCCCCCCCGTCTCCTCATCCCCCCCCCACACCCCCGGGCGCCGGGGGTGGGGGAAACGCGACGGGCGATTTAGCCCCGCCTTGGGTTACCTGTGCCCCCTTCAGTTCCTCCCCACATCCTCTGTCCTTTGCTGAGGGGCGCGCGCGCACGATTGGCACCCTTGCGCGCGCGGGCGGCTGATGAAGCCGGAACGGCCTGCCCTGTCGGTTCGATGGGCGCGCCTCGTGGCCGCAAAGTTCAGCTGAGAGGCGCGCGGGCGGCGTGGGGCACGGACTAAAATCGAGGGCAATAGCTCGGGGTGGTGTGGTGGGGGGGAATTACCATAAGTGTGACGGGGGAGGAGAGAGGATGAGGAGGTCCTCCTCCTCCTCCTCCTCCTCCTCCTCCTCCTCCTCCTCCTCCTCCTCCTCCTACCTAACCTATGGTAGTGGTGGTTGGAAATGGGCGCATCCGAAGAGCAGGCGGAAGCGGACAAAGGTTGGTCTGTCAGTACCCGCCACATGATGCCAGTCATGTCAGTGAGCAAACATACGACTGACCGGCGCGCGCGAGTGCCGTTTTTTTGCGACCCCGCGGTGTCCAACATGCGCTATGAAGGCGACGGGTCACCCGCAGCGCCAGTTCCTCGTCCTGGGGTAAGTTTTGACAGGCCCATGGCCCAGGGAAAGGCCAATTCGCTCAGGACGCGCGTCTTTTCTGCTGCAGCACTGGGGGTGCGCAGAGAAGCAGGAACAAACAATAACATAAGCATCAGAATTCGGAGATCCGCGCGGATTCCTCTGATCGGCGCTGGGGGGACCCCTGGCGGCGCGCTCCGCGTGCCATGGAGGAGGGGTGTCCAGCGCCGTTCCATGAAACCTGCGCGGACCTCCGAGTTTTCATGTTCATGTCGTTGATTGTTCCCCATATGAGATGGATGGGCTGCGGAGGAGGCGGAAGGACGGCGGAGGAGGGCGAGGGGAGGGATTGGCCGCACTTTGGGCCGCACACGCGGGGTCGGCCGCGTGTTGCGGCTTCCACGGGGCTGGGAGGAGGGAGCCTGGCAGCTTGAGGGAGGGATTCGCTTCGAAAGATTGTCTTCGGCAGTCTGGTGCCTCGGGCTTCAGCTGGAGAAGAAACACCTCCAGACACGTACATGTTCGACGGTCTGCGTGGATTGCTTGGGTCGGTGTTTGGACACCCGCGGTTGCGCCTCGGGCGCCCCCCCTGGAGCGCCCCGAGCACAAGCCGGGTAGTCGAAGGCCAGACTGTCAGATTGGATTGGGCCCCAAGGGCCAATCTGGCCCGGCCAAACTGGATGATTTGGGTTATTCGCCAGACTGGATTCGCGCTGGCTCCCTCGCCAGATTGCCCCCGTTTGCCAGATTGGGCCTGCCAGATTGGCGCCAGATTGGCTTCGACTAACCAGACAAGGGAGTGGCGTCCAGCCCCGATAAAAGAAATCAGCGCGGACGGTCGACAATTCATGTTTATGCAGTTGCTTCATCCTGTAAGTTTGGGGCCTGCCTTTGTTTTGATTGACCGCCGACTGCAACCCCTCCAACTAGGAGGAGGAGGAGGACGAGGAGCAGGAGGAGGAGGTGGAGGAGGGGGAGGAGTAATGGTGAGGGAGGAGGGAGGAGGGAGGAGGAGGAGTAGGCGAGGAGGAGGAGGAGGAGGAGGAGGAGCAGGAGCAGGAGGAGGAGGAGGAGGAGAATCTGGCCCAGGAGGACTGTTCCCGGCCGAGGGTGGCAGATAAGACTGCGGTGGGGAGGTATCGGAACATGGGCTTCGTGAAGGAGAAGCGGCTGCACAAGTGCC